AAAGGACGTAGGATTGCATTGTATCAATCATCCAGTACAGCTTTGTTGCAACTGAGGTTTTAGGAGAGTTTACATAATCGAAATAACACTTGTCATTCTAAGTGATAGACTTGACAGGTGTATTTGCAATCATCTTGTATCTAGGTCCAATAATGTTTCCTCTATACAAAATGCATGCTGCATACTACAAACAACCTCTTACCTTCGTGCAAAAGAAAAGTGGGCTGAGGCACTGGGAGAGAAATTCCGAGGGCTATCTTGAGGACTGTTTCCTGTGGAGGGAGACACAAAAAAATATTAGGGGTGGGGAGGAGGGGGAAAGAACCCACTAAAAAGCATTCAGACATACTAATCCAAGCATTTCCAGGCAAGTTAGAAACAAATTTCAGAACAACTTCTCTTCACAGTGAGTTTATTTTCAAATAAACTTTAAAATAGAATCTTATTTCAATACATATTTCATTTATATTTGATTTTTAGTTATTGGATTTTATTACTCATAGACAACCCTCTATTTAGCCCTTTAATTCAAGAATTAAAGTTTAAAAAAAACCCAGTATATTAGCTTGAAAGAAACATACAAGGCAGGTTTTTCTAAATCACACAAAACACTTGAAAAAGAGAAAAATCACGATCAGCACGATTTATCCCTTACACAGTCTCTACAGCATTTCCACAGGAGCTTTAGTGTGATTTTTTCTGCCCCCCGCAACTCTGAAGCAAACAAGCAGACACAACACACTGAATTATTTTTTTTCCTTTAGTTTAGTTAGACCAAAGTGTGGAAAGGTGACCACCCTCTGTGATGAGAAGAAGGAACTGCACATTGTGAACAGGTTGTAACTTTTGGGTCTGTTACTGCTTCATCTTAAAGCACCCAACCTCCTGCTGACCAGCGCGAGCGCAGAAAGAAGGCAGCTGCCGAGAGCTTTTCCTGCCAGCTCTGCCCCTCAGCACCTACAGCTAGAGGAGGCACAGTATCTGAAGAAGAAATAAAGATGTCCCCTGGAAAAAAACAAACCAGAACAAAGAAAACACCGAACAAACAAAACCCAAACACATCAAAAGCTAGAAGGATTTGATTTAAAGTAGCACTGGCAGACGTCTAAAAGTCAGTCCTTCCTTAGATAGGGAACAGGCTGCAGCAACAATAAGTTAAAGAAAAGTAATATATTTGTTGTAGTGTTTTAAAATTTTTGGACATAAATGAGACCATAACATTAAGCAACAGATAAAAAAATGGCTCTTATGTACCCAGTTAGAATCAGCATTTGATTTTTGAGGAGAAAATTACTGCCTACATGTGAAAAAGCCAGTACAATAGAGTGAGTCCTTGAAAGGATTTCAAGAGGCCTTGATTTCTTCTCAAATTTTGGAATTAACATTGCATTAACAGAAACCATTTTTTTATATATATATATGAGAGCTGCTCCTCACAGCTCTGACCCTCGGCACCTACAACTAGAAGAGACACAGTATCTGAAGAAGAAATAAAGATATCCCCTGGGGAAAAAAACCCCAACAAACAAACAACAACAACAAAAAATCACAAGGTAAAAGGATGTTATTTAAAGTAGCACTATATATTTTCTTGTGTGTGTGTATATGTATACACCAGAAAGCCTAATCATGGAGCCATTAGGTTGCAAACACATAGAACATGAACACCCACCCCCCTGCTTTTTTTTTTCTGCTAGAAGAAGATGCAAAATGCTTTTTGAGCTGTGCTTAAATCACATCTTCACAGCTGTTCTTCCCATGGCCCCAAGAGACAAGGATTCCGCTCTTGCTGGCCAATACCTCCACCTTTTTTTTGCCTGTTTATCTATCATGGCTGAATTATGTCCTTCTGACATTCCCTCCGCCCCCTCAAGACCCCAGCTTCTTCGTTACCCTTCAGACACTTCAGAGGGCCTCAATAACTTCAAGTTGGCAAGGATTTTCAGTCCCTGAAGAGAGGAGGGGGAGGGAAGCAGAGGGAATCTGAAGCCACACATGTAGCACAGTTTTCAATCTTTATTTGGGGACCAACACAATTTATTCTTGTCCTGCATGAACTGCAAATACCAAGTTACTGGGAGCAACAGTCCCTTTAATTTAACAGCTAACTGGATTTTGTTTGCTGCTACCAGAGCTTATTTAGTAAAGATAAGCTAAAAAAAAAATAAAATTTTAACACTGTGCAGATAAAACACAGTCACAAACTTCAGCTACTTCACTAGAAAAAGTTAGTTGTAATTTGGAGCGTGTCTTGGACTTGGATAAGAGGAAAAAAAAGACAAAGAAGCTACCTTAAACTCTGGCAGAAAAGCAGAGAATTAGGCTTAATGCGGCGAGACGTAAACAGCTTTTGACAGGAAATAATTTGATGAACCAGCATATAGGGGTTTGTAAACAAATTCCTCTCCTCCGATAGCTATTTTAAAATTATGTATGGATACATACACATATTGTACACACATCAAGGACATGCCTCACTGTCCATCAGTCAGTCAGAAAATACGCATAAACTTCAAATAGAAGCAAAAACATGGTGGAAGAATGCAGTAGTTTTATAGCTATTGCAGTGGATTTGAGGAGACACAGTGCTGCAAACTACCTCACTAGAATCAACAAAGCTCACTTCCTTATGAACAAAACCTGAAGAAGTCAAAAGTCTTACTCAGGAAAAGCATCAGATCCTGTAATTAGGAAAAATTGATTTGCAAGCACTACTTCCAGTAGCAAACAAGCTTTTAAAATTACAAAACTGGTAAAGCCATATACATAATACCTGGATAACAAATCCTGCAGGTTTATCTAGAAACCTAAGAACTCAGACAAGCCTGGAAACAGAGAATGAAAAACCAAACCCCAAATGACTGGAGAAACAGCTAGTGCTATTACGGGTTTAGGGTGTGGTGTTCCAGAAAAGCAAGATAGGTTAGAAGCAGAGTCCTGTATGTGACCTTCATCCATCACAGCATTCATCCACCCATCTGCAAGTCAATACCTGGGAGACTTTCAAATAAAAACAAGTGCCAGTTAATTCTCTGTCCATATGTGCAGTGCTTGCTTATTAGTCAAATCCTGCTGTTCTTTGGGATTTGCTGGCTGTTGTATGTTTTAGTCCTAGGGTACCTCTATGCTGCTGGGATTACTGTCGATGTTTCTGACCTGGTAAAGTAAACCTGACTGGTGGTCATGCATTAGGTAAGTAATTAACTCCAGCATCCTCTGGGAGACACAATGAATAGGCAATCAACATACCAAAACAATACTCTACCTATGACAACACAAAGGGTAGCTCATTTTGCAAGCAGCTACTGTTAAGAAAATTATATCAAGACTAACTGAATTGTGATTGTTTTGTAAGTAGCTTCAAGAAGTCCTGTGTCTTTGCCACAGAGGGAAGATGTTTTAAATCTTTTAAAAAGGCATATGTTACAGTCACTGTATATTATTAATGTATATTTAATAACTGTCTACTTACAAAATAAAGAGTTTCAGGTGCAATGACTTTCTGTTAGTACTGAGGGAATAACACATTAATGATAATTGTTATCCCAAATTCCTGATGGATCAAAGGCAAATCCAGCTTGAAGTCCTGCTGCCACTATTTGACAGTCTTTTAAAAATGAATCACAGTACATCAGCACCACAGTAATACAATATAACAATGGGTCATACATTCCTCTACGACAGTTTACTTGGTGGTGAACTCACACTGCTAAGTGAATAATACACAAGAAACCATCCGTCAACTGTTACAGGTCTGACTTTCACACCATAGGAAATGGTGCCAGTCAACAGAACACACAGCTGGGCAGCAGAATCATTTTGAATACTTCTGCAGGTGCTTTCCACTGAGATCCACTCAGAGGTGAGGAGCTCAAGCTATTTCAAAACCTGGATTAATTATGCTTCACATCAGCAAATGACTTTCCTAGTAACAGCAAAGAAGGTTTGCACGCTCCTTAAATGCATTTGCCAGGGTGCTTTGCATGTTCTGAGCACTACTTAAAATACTGTCAGTGGTATGTTTTAATGGGATTTAATTTAAAAGTCAGTTGTATCTGCATGTAACTTACTACTTACACTCTCCTCTCCTGTTCCTAAACTAGTAGAAAATGCTCTGAAATTGCTGTAACAGTTTCACTTTGCCCAAAAGCAAGACTAAATAAAGTTTTATTTTAGCAAAATAATTTCTATTATTTTACATGTGACAAGTCAGAATAATTGAAATATTGTATTATTTTCCTTTCCGTAAATATCAATTTTCTTTGAAAAAAATTATATTCAGAACCCTGCTTTAATCTTCAGCTATCAGCATTCCTGTATTTCACCATAAAAACGTACTAAGGCTTCATTCATTTACAAACCTAATCTTCCTGTCCCCAAAATCCACTCAATGCACACTGTAGCTAAAGCAGAACAGCACAGAAGCTGCCTATGAGATAAATTCTTCTTTGCTTCAAATACACCATAGTAAGCCAGTAACCATTATCACCTACCTTGGACAAAAACCACAGGACTAAAGTTAAAAATCCAGGAAAACTAACTAAATTTGATGCATACACACAGCTGCCTCCAGTGTGATTCAAAGCCTAACACAACTAAAATACATGATGCAAACAGCTTTGTTCATTACTATACTTCAACATAGCTAGCTAAAGTACGTCTATCAAATGAAATTATCTGATGCAAGCAGTAAGTCGTAATGTAGTGAGAGCAGAATATTAACAGTCAGTACTATGTGTCTGCCCAGACCTAAAAAAAAATCCTAGAAAAAGGATTACAAGTGGAAGTCCTCCTTGGCCTTAAATTTTTCTTCAGGCAATTGCATCAGGTAAACCCATTCATAAACATTAAATACAACAGGAAAGGTCATGTTCATCCTCTCCATACTTAGTGGATGATTCTTCAGGAACCTCTTCCCATTCCATGAAGAAAACACCTCTGTCTGATTCAGATGACAATACAGGCTTTTCAGTCTTCCTGTTGCTAAGGTCTTACACAAAAAGCTCTCACATTCTCACATCCTACCAGCCTTTCTCCCCACATGATCCCATCTGATCATGTATGACCACAAAAGCACTCAGAGATTTGCTTTTCAAAGCTACACTAGACTGGTCCTTGCAAACATCGTCTGATCCAGAAAATGCAGTCAGGTCCTTCCCTATAACTCTTACAATAGATGAGCCCACAGTTTACAGCAGACATTTCTGTTACAGGTCATCCAGCACAAAATGCTGCATGTTGCTATGTAATTTCATACTTTTTTATTCCAGTC